GAAAATTATATAAAGTAATATTGGGAAAAAGAAATAAAAGATTTATTTTATGAAATAAGAAAATAAGAATGAAATAGAAATAATAATATAATATTGAGGAGAGAGAAAAATATTCTTTTTAGAGAGTAAAATAGAGAATTAGATTGGAGTTGGTTGTTTCAAAAAATAGAGAACTCTATATTCAGAGAGTAAAATAGAGTGTAGGGTTGGAGATGTTAATGCATAAGCAAATTACTTTTAGTGACGAAACATACAATTTTGTAGCAATCTGTTATCCATTAAAATTTCCCACCAAAAAATAATTTGGCGCCATTTATCAAGCATTATTGGCAACAAACTTTGAGTAGCCAGTGACACATTATTTTGTCACTAATGATCTATTCAATTTGTGACAAACTATTATTTGTTGTAAAATTAGTTATAACTTTAGACACAAAAAAGTTTCGTCATAAAAAATAAGTTATTGTATTTGCGACAAATTAGAGTTTTGTAGTTAAATATTGTAAGTTTTAATCACAAACGATAACTTTATTGTCTCTAGTCATGTTGTTACTTAGTGACAACATAGTTTTGTCATAAAATATGCATTGTTTAAATAGCGATGATTTAATTTCGTAGCTAAATAATTTAACTATTTTGCTATAATAAATAGGGATAATTTAAACACCCTCTTCTGATTTCACTCTATAACACTCACCTCCCCTGTGATTTACAATATTATGTCTACCTCTGTTATTTTGATTTTCTTATAACCATTCTTTAAACCTATTCAATATAAATTTGAATCAATTATTACTTATTTGGCCTTTTTATATTTATTTTTTCATATAAATGCATATTATTAAAAACATGACTTATTTAATAAATACTTTAAAAATAAATTAACTCAAATAAATAAATAAATAAATATATATATATATATATATACACACACACATTTCTTTATCGTGATTTATTTTTAAAGTATTTATCAAACAAGTCATTTTTAATAATATGTATTAATATAAAGAAATTAATATAAAGATGGACAAATTTATCAAATAATATTAAATTTTTATGTATTTTAAATATGTTTAAATAGTACTTACAAAAAATTCAAAATAAGGAGGTAAGCATAATATCGTAAACCACATGGGAGATAGTGATACAGAGCAAAACCTTGAGGAATGTCTCTGAAATTATTCCTAAAAAATAATTATAGTTTAATAAAAAAATATTTGCTTTTTATTCTGTCGGAACACAATTTTTGTCTATTCTCCGGGGTTAAAATTATCATGATTATGTTTATGGAACCTACCCATGTTTTGATCCTATTTGGACATTTTTAGTTAGTTTTCAAATAATCGACAATTCGTATTATGTTATACTTATTTGTAGTACATCATTGGTCTCTACGTCAGTTAGACGTCCAAATCGTCTTTCTTTTAGTCTAGTAATACGTTGACATTTTTCCCCATAGTTGCACGAACACAACATAAATGAAAACTAAAGGTTTAATTTGGAGTTGAGAGCCGAGAGTCTTATATCACTCCAACCAATCAATGTACTTGATCCTATTTTGTTTCAACTCCCCCGCTGTAATTTGATAATCAATTTCTAGATTAATATGTTATTTTCTTGTTACAAGACTTTTTTTAGATGCATTAAGTATTGTATAATTGTGATTCACTTGATATGATGGTTGTTTGTTTGGTGTCAGTCAAGAGGCTATAAATTTTTTAATTGTGGTAACTACATTTAACAATTGTTTTTACATTCTTTATTTGTAATAATTGTTTACCAAAATCATAATATTGTTGGCAATACTTTTTTTAATAAATGACAATATCTTGATTTAAATTTTGGTATACAAAAAAGTTTTTTTACGAAAATATTATTTTCATAGGTTAGCAAACATTTTAATGTTAGAATCTTTATGGATTGTTTAGTATTAATATTATAAAATATAGCAATTGACAGCATGATATTTTTTGAAAATAATTAATTATTATTTGGTCAAATTTTTTGTTTCTTTTCCATTTTTCCCAAAAAGAAAATGCAGCAAAATAAATTCTAAAAGCAAAACTTTATTAATGTGCTTTTGTAATTTCATAAAAAAAAAAAGAACTCACTAAATTAATGTTCCCTCCTTTGTTTGCTTTTAGTTTTAGAAAAATATCATCCCCCCTTCCCCCACACAAAAATTTGCCTCCTCCCTAATTTGATAAGCCTAGGGCTTTTTGCCTCTGCATCTTCATTGAAATATCCCTCGATGGCACAAGGGACTGTGTTGTCTAATCTTGGGTAAGTATTTCCACCCAACCTACTATTTGTTCTTGGGGATGACGTCTTCCTTTAACAATTCCTTAGGGACTATATGGGAAACAATGTTCTTGGAGATGATGTCTTCATCGTAAACTTTCAGTCTGGAACTCAAAGAGGGCATTTTTTGAAAGAGAGTTGATCATATCATCATCCATCTGGAGTTGAAAACGAAGAGAAGATCTTCTTCGCCGATTTCAGCATCAGCAATTTCATGGCGATGTTCGTGTTTCGTCGTAACTTCCATTTGTGAGAGTTCTATCTGCCAGTGTTTGTATGAAGTAGTGCATTTAGATTGTATTTTGGTTATCTTCAATTTTCTTTGCCCAATAGTGGAAAGAATTAGCTAGGGACTTGAAGTTTTTTGTACATCATCGTGTGCGATTCTCGAATAAAGATAAAAAAAATTCCTAGAGTCCTGTGTGTTTACCGTTCACAATCGTAATTGCAATAAACCTATATTTTCTACTTTGAATAGAAACATGTATGGCTTCATTGTACTCACCAACTCATGTTTTTTTTTGTTCTGCACCTTCCAACCAATGTTCCTTTCTAAACGTAAAGAATTGTTTGCTGCCAGTGATAAGCAGTTGTTTCTTTTGGGGATTAATCTGTTGTGATATTGTTGTTTTGCTGGTTTTTTTAGGTTATGATGTTATTGATCTGAACTATAGTACACTATTGGGTTTTGTTCAAGGTTACAAATTTTAGTTAAGTGCATTACCCATCCTGGTTCCTCGATGTTATATGTTAGTTAGACGTTTGAAAAACTATTTGAGGTGATATTGAAATTTTTAGGAAAGTATGCAATACTCATCTTGGGGTGACAATTCGAATGGTCGATGATTCGCGAGTACTCAATATTTGTAGTCATGACTTGCCCAGATTTTCACTACCTGAGCAACAATGTGGATTTGAGCCTAGTCTCTGTTAGATTCATAGAGTTGCTTAGATGTTTTCTTTAGTTTATACATGATTAGCTATTTTTGTGCTTGTTTCTTTCTTGAATAACATGGTTGTCATTTGATAATTTAGACATAAGGTCTTTTGTTTCCTTCAATTTGTTTTGGCCATATCATGTTTCTTTCACGTTAAATCCGATTCAGTGCTTCAAATGGCCATTGAAGGATCCAACACGGGTATGGCCACATTTTTGGAGAGTCTGAGCAACATAGACTATTTGCATTAGAAATATGATTATGAGGTCTTGTTTAGTTTTCTCTGGTCATCTAATGCTTTTGACATCTTACTAATTGGAGTTGGTAATTTATTTAAGTGTAGTAATTTAGCAAACTATGTTGCAGAAGTTATATGAAGAAATTAGGCTCACTAAGTTATCTAGTTAAATAATGATTTGGGTGCTAATTGCTCCTTTATATATAGCATCAAATTTTCTACTTTGTTTTCATTAGAAACTAGCTAATCCTCAGCAGACATGATTTTCGATGGACACTTCAGTGATCTGAGCATGATACGACCAACATGCTATACAGTAGTGTTGGTGCATTGTACCTATAGTTGAGCTGGATAATAGCCTACAGTTCTATTATTTATTAAAATTGTAGAAAGAAGACTGGAGGCAACATCCACTACTAGCTAAAATCGTGCATTATGCTTGAACTGATGCACACTATTTGTTGTACATTGTCCATCATCTTTCTTGCAAGCTCAAAGAACATGATACTGGTATGGGTCTCCACTCACAAAAGAGAGTAAAACTTACTTACGGGGTGTGTTGCATCATCTATAATCTCCCTTTATCAGAGTGATTAAGGAAGTTCTATGTAAAGTTCTGATGAGATGAAGGTACTATTCTTTGTATAGTTTTTTCTTCTTCCAATTTCTTGTTTCTTTGTGTTGATTACTTCTTCTTTGGTGTTAGTTCCATGACAGTGTTGGGTGATTGCGTGCTTGGAGAGTTGTAATGGTAAGTATGATAGTATCAGATTCTGACTTAGAGCCTCTTTGGATTAGCTAATTTTAAGTTCTTTTAAGCCAAAATAGCTTTTAACTACTTCTGGAGTGTATTTGGATAAATTTAAAAAGTGCTTACAAGCACTTAGTTTTAAGCTAAAATGAATAAAATAAGTCAAAAGCTATAAGTTAGAAATTCTAACTTATGGCTTATAAGTCAAAAACTAAAAGTCAATCCAAACACGCTCTTAATGTGTGGGAACAAAATAAAGCGTGAGACTTGAATGATCATATAGTTATGATTCGACATAATATCCCCTTTAGTTTTAAAAAAAACATAACTGGTGGTCTTTATTCTCCTCTTTGTTTTGTGTGAAGCAAAGCTTTGTGAATTCATCAATTGTAGAATTTTTATGTCAAAAGATCAATAGAGGTTTAGTAGGAAAAAGTTTGCATATAGTCAATAGGAGTTTCATGTGGATACAATCACTACCACAAAGTTAGCTTTTAGCGGCAATTATTTAATGGCAATAATATAAGTGCCGCTAAATATGTTTTAAACCTAATTATTTAGGGGCAATTGACCATTAGCCGGTAAAGTAAACTTTTTAACGACACTTACTTAAAAAATCTAATAAAAAAGCTAAATTCTATTTCATTCAATAAAATAAATACTTTTTCTTACACAAAATTCCCAAATTCCAAAATTTTCGATCTCTCTTTCTCCATTCCCATCTGAAGCGACAGCTCTGAGCTCACAAAATTGATCTGAAGTTTCATCTTCGTCTTCGACTTCGTAGTTTCCATCTCCGTCTCCTTCGTCCGCCATCGATTTCTAACCCTTTGTCACCGCCTCAAGGTACGCCTCCATTCCCATATGAATTAACAGCTCTGAGCTCACAAAATTGATCTGAAGTTTCATCTTCGTCTTCGACTTCGTAGTTTCCATCTCCGTCTCCTTCGTCCGCCATCGATTTCTAACCCTTTGTCACCGCCTCAAGGTACGCCTCCATTCCCATCTGATGCCGATGCGCTCTGATTCTTTTGTCTTGAATGTGATTGGATGATAATGATTGTTTTGTGTTGAAATTGTGATATATGAGGATTGTAATGTGTTGTAGTTTGCTGCGAGAGTTGTATTCTGTGCATTGTGTGTTGTGCTAAGCACTACTTGTATTAGATTTTCAGCATATAGATGGTGGTCCTTTCTCTACGTAGCCTCCTCTGGTTAGATTTCTTAGCCTATTAGTGGAATTGTGCAAGTCTGTTGCGTAGTAAGCATATTGGGTACTATTTGTTGTATCGACAAGGTACTAAACAAGGTTCCCATCATTTTGCATTTTGAGGCAGAAAATCCTGATTTAACCAGGTAAACTTGTGTTTGTTGGATTATCAAAATTTCGCCAAACGACATTGCGATCTAAATCATAGAGCACAAACACTACAAAAAAATCAGCGTTTACCGACGGATGAAATCCGTTGCTAATCTATGATATTCCGTCGCTAAATAGGTTTAGTGACGGATTAGCGACGGATTATTGACTGTTACTATATCGCTCGTTGATAATCTCTTAGTGACGAAAAAAGTGTTCCGTCACAAGTTTAGCGACGTCTTAGAGACGAAATATATCCGTCACCACTTGTTAGCGACGGAATAATCCGTCATTATATTTACATTGTTTGTTGCTAATTGCATAATTCATTTCGTCATTTTTGATAAATTCGTGACAGATTTTTTGTCGCTAATCCGTCGCAACATATTTTGTCGCAAAAATTTTTGTCCGTTGCCAGCATTTCTTTATGTAGCAACGACAAAATAGTCGCTATATTTGTTGCTAAATTTTTTTCTTGTAAATTTGATTTATTTTGTTTTAAATATACACTACTGATATAATTTAAACTAAATTGCTAAATACCCCAAAATTAATCAACATATAAAATAATATCATAGATGGTTCAAAATAT